ATTCAAATGTTTGCTTGCACTTCAAGTTGTCACAGATTTACAAATCTCCACCTGACAAGTAGAAGAGCAAACTGTAAACCATAGTACAAAATGTGAGAGAGAGAAGAGTACCTTGTTTAGTAACCGGATTTCAGGCTCGGATTCCTGAGTATTACTACTCATACTTGACTCGTAGGAAGTTCAGTGCAGCTTGAAACTTTCCTACAGCCAAAACCTTAGTGAAAATATCAGCAGGATTCTTCTCTGTTGATATCTTCAGAACCTCCACATCTCCGTCTGTGATGATATCTCTGATATAGTGATACTTGACATCGATGTGTTTAGTCCTCTCGTGATGCACATTGTTCTTCGATAAGGCAATGGCACTTTGAGAATCGCAGAAGACTTCTACACTCTTCTGATTGTAACCGAACTCTGTCATCAGACCCTTCAACCAAACTGACTCTTTTACTGCTTCAGTTAGGGCCATGTACTCCGATTCAGTAGTTGACAGAGCCACTACTCGCTGCAGGCCAGATTTCCAGCTTATAGTGTTTCCTCCGTGAGTAAATACCAGATCCGAAATAGATCTTCTTTTGTCTGGATCTGCAGCAAAGTCAGCATCACAATATCCCACAATCTTGAAGTCTGAGCTCTTTTTGTAACACAGACGAGTCTTCAATGACCCCTTGAGATATCGTAGAACCCATTTCACTCCGAGCCAATGGTCTTGGATCGGTTGGCTTATGAATCTACTGATTACCCCAACAGAGTAAGCTAAGTCAGGGCGAGTTCCGATCATGGCATACATGATGCTTCCCACGGCGTTAGAATAGGGAATTGACTTCATGTAGTCTTTGCTTTCTAACAACTCCTCCTCTGTAGCAGCTCGCAGCTTAAAGTGTGCTCCTAGGGGAGTGACAGTTGACTTCGCTTCACTTATATTGTAAGCAGCAAGGATCTTGTTTAAGTATCCTTCTTGAGACACCCATAAAGCACCAGCAGATCTATCTCTGATGATCTCCATACGGAGAATCTTCTTTGCAGCACCAAGATCCTTCATATCAAATCTCTTACTCAGCTCCTTCTTCAGCTAAGAAATAGCTTCTTTGTCATGACATGCTACAAGCATGTCATCAACGTAGATTAGTAGATACATCAAGCTTCCATCCTCTAAAGCCTTGATGTAAGCACAGTGGTCGTACTTGCTCTTCACAAAACCGATCTTGGTGATGTAAGTATAGAACTTTTCGTTCCACTGTCTAGGAGCCTGTTTCAGTCCATATAGCGATTTGTTGAGCAAACATACCTCATTGTCCTTGAACATAGATTCATAGCCTTCAGGAGGCGTCATGTAGATCTTCTCCTTAAGCTCCCCATATAAGAAAGCAGTTTTAACATCGAGTTGCTCCAGTTCCAAGTCTTCTTGAACCACAATTGAAAGCAGTATCCGTATGGACACATGTTTCACCACAGGAGCAAAGATCTCGTGGTAGTCTATCCCTTCTCGCTGAGCATACCCTTTGGCGACAAGACTAGCTTTGAAGCGTGGTTCTTCAACCCCAGGGATTCCCAGCTTGTACTTGAATATCCACCTACTGCCAATGATCCATTGATTTTTAGGCCTTTGAACGATGGTCCAAGTATCATTCTTGTTCTGAGAATCCATTTCTTCTTCCATAGCAGCTCTTCACTTGTCCCAGTTTGAGTCTCTCCTTGCTTCATTGTAGTCAGCAGGCTCAACTGCATCACCATCTTCCGTTGTGTACAGAGCTTCAGAGAAGTATTCTTCATCATCAAAACGTTTTGGTGGATGTATGACTCTTCTTACTCTGTCTCATGCAAGACGATAGCTTAGTGGAGATTGACTTACTTCAGTCTCCGTGTCTTCTTCTTCGTCTTGTATCGTAAGAGTATTAAGTCTTGACCTTGAGCTTGAGGGAGTGTTAGCAATATCTGATTGATCTCTACCCGAGATGATATCTCTTTCTGCTTCGAGATCCAAATCCTGATATGCATTGTCTCGATCATCATATTGCAGTATAGTGTTATCACCTCTCTGCAACACGTCCTTGTAGACTGCATTTTCTTGAAAGATGACGTTTCTACTAACAACACACTTCCTCTCTTCTAACAGCCAAACCTTATAACCTTTAACTCCATCTGGATAACCAATAAGAGCTCCCTTCTTAGCTCTCGGACTCGGCTTTCCATCATCAGTATGAACAAACACAATGCAACCGAATCTCCTCAAATAGCTGTACACTGGTTGTTTACCATACCATCTCTTATCAGGTATATCAAAGTTCAGAGCAGAGGAGGGAGTCTTGTTGATGAGAGCTGCTGCAGTGTGAGTTGCTTCTGCCCAAAATCTCTTTGGCAACCCTGAGTCACTCAGCATTATTCTCACTTTCTCTATGAGCATACGATTCATACGTTCTGCAACTCCATTTTGCTGGGGTGTATACACACATGATCTGTGTCTTTGAATCCTTTTTGCTTCACAGAAACCATCAAATAAACGGTAGCAGAACTCTAAGCCGTTGTCTGTCCTGAGAGTCTTGAGCTTTCTGTCGCTTTGATTCTCCACCAGACTGACCCATTCAATAAACTTTTCGAAAGCTTCATCCTTTGTTCTCAGAAAATAAACCCACACTTTCCTTGAGTAATCATCAATAAACGATATGAAGTATTGACAGTTACCTAAGGACAGAGGCACTGAAGGAGCTCCCCATACGTCAGAATGAACTTACTGAAGTTTTTCCTTGGTGTCGTGTTGAGCTAGAGTGAAGCCAACTTTCTTGGCTCTTCCATATATGCAGTCTTCACACGCTTCCAAAGTTCACACTTTCTTCTTATCAAGCATCCCTCTGTTGACCATTATGCTCATGTTTTTCTTACTCATATGCCCCAACCTTTTGTGCCAAAGCATCGTATCATCTTGCTCTCTTACAGTAGCGTGAGACTCATCTACAATAGGTCTCCACTGAAGTAGATACAGCGTGTCATACCTCCTTCCTGTTAGCAAGACTCTGCTTCCATATTTGATGCTTAAAATCCCATTTTCTGCTTCAAACTTGTGACCAACTTTCTCAAAAGTTCCTAAAGATAGGAGATTTTTGTCCATCTCAGGTATGAACCTGACATTTGTAAGCAAGACCTGCAGTCCTTCTTCGTTGTTGATTCGAATGGAGCCAACTCCTCTTACTCGTGCTATTGTCTTGTTACCCATCCTGACAGAACCCCCAGCGTCTTCATCCAAGCTTTCAAACCACTCCCTTTTGAAGGTCATATGGTAGCTACAGCCTGTGTCCATGATCCATTCGTCTTCTAGATGTATATCAGTAGAAGACATAGCTTCTAACACATACAAACCGTTGCTTCAACAAGGTTTCCATTCGCTGATGTTTCACCTTTTCTGTTTCCTTGCTCCTTTGATCTTTGATGAGCTTTTCCTTTGTTTAGGCAAGCATTTTTGTAGTGACCTTCCTCACCACAGGTCCAGCAGCCTTTCCCTTTAGCTTTCGATTTGGACCTTGACTTCTTGCTTCCCTTCTCTCTGTGCTCACTTCTTCCCCTTGTCTCGCTTTTCTCTTTAGCATAGAGACCCTCGGCTTGACCTTTGATGCTTTTCTTTGTTGATCCAAACTCTAGCTCCTTTGAGTAGATAGCTGCAGTTACTTCATCCATGGTTAGGGTAACTCTGCCGGAGCCATATCTTAGAGTATCTTTCAACTGATCAAAAGGTCTCGAAAGAGACATCAGCAGCAATATAGCTTGGTCTTCATCAGATACCAGAACATCCATGTTCTCTAGATCTTCAACTATATGAAGAAAGTCGTCTATATTCCCTGAGAGATTTTCCGACATCTTGAAGCTGTAAAGCTTCTGCTTTAGATAGATCCGGTTAGGTAGAGCTTTTGACATGTATAGTTTATCCAGAGCGCTTAACATTTCTACAGTCGTCGTTGCTTTCTTTACCTTCCTTAGGACCCTATCTGTAAGGCTTAGAACAATAGTGCTTCTAGCCCGTTTCATCTTTTCTTCAAATGCATCTCTTTTGAAATCTGCTTCAAGCTTTCCAAGATCCGAGCCATCTCCAGTAGGAAACACTTGCTCCTTGAAAACCATGCTCAGCCCAAGTATATCTGGGTGAGCTCCGAGCTTTTCCCTCCATATGATGTAGTCACCACGGCCATCGAACTTTTCTATTTCCACTCTTGATGAAGACAAGACTCAGAGCTGTTTGTCACAGATCTGAAACATAGACCAGCCTAACCTGGCTCTGATACCAAGCTGTTAGGTTTTAAGCACTCAAGACGTCGACTTTCTGAAGCGCATAACCACCAGCAACACCAAGAACAAAACAGTCTGGAGTGATGAAACAGAGAAACAGAGGAACAGAGTTACGAAACAGAGCAAGAAGAGAATGAAGAAAAAAGTAAAGATTGCAGGAGCACACAAGAGATTTTACGAGTTCACGCCCAAAGAAGGGTCGCTACGTCTCGCCGAGCCTTGTTTGGAATCCACTAAACACCGAGAGTTTACAAACAAGTAGAGATGAATAAGAGTTCCTTACTATCGCCCTTCACTAGCGCATAGAGTACTCTCTATTCAGTCTCTGTAACCAAGAACATACAATCTCAAGCTTATGCTAAACTGTATTTCTAATAACTCTCTATCAACTCGTGTATCTCACTCTCTCTACTTACTCACAAATCTAAGAAGCTCCCTTAAATAGCTTTATGACTCTAGGGCTTCCCAAGCACATAACCGCACCAATCGCAGTCTGAAAAAACGCCAGAATCAGTCTTCAGTCAGCGTCTGCAGTAATGCCAAACTTGCTTTTCTCCAACGTTAGAAATCATTAGCTGTCCTCGCCGTACACTCGTGGTGTCTGCTTGTTGCAGATACCGTTAGCAAAACCATGTTTTTTTTGGCTATCTTGTATACTATGTCGATAGTCTCTCTAAGCGAATAGTTTGCTTTTAGGGTTCTTACGTGTCAGCGTCCTGAATCCAATGAAGGTACATTATTAGTTAACATGTTTGTAGGACCATTGTTTGTGTTAGGTTTTCAATCAGTTCTATATAACTTGTTAGTCTTATGGTTTTGAAGGTCCTTGTTAATTATCGATTGCCCTTGTTCTGGATTCTGTAGGCTTTGCTTCTGTTTACATCCTTAACCATATTGTCAATAGTCTGATAAGATTGCGACCATAGTCAAAGCTGCTGGTGTCGAGATTGAGTCATACTGGCCAATGCTATTCGCCAAGATGGTTGAGAAGCGTAACGTTACTGACCTCATCATGAATGTGGGTGTCGGTGGCGGTGGAGGCGGTGCACCAGTTGCCGCCGCTGCACCCGCCGCTGCTGGAGGAGCTGCATCTGCTGACCTCGTCATAATTGTTAGCTCTCGACGTTCTCAGTATCTTATGTTATAATACTCGACTTATCCCCCTGTTCTGTTTGCTTGCAACTTTCTTTATCGAATTTGCAGTCTACTTGCTAATTTGATCTTAAAATGGATTAAAACTAGTAGTATTTCACTCGGATTCCAAAACCGATTTGGATTCTTCCTCCGTTCCTCACAGTACAGTCGACAAAATTCTTAACGCGTCCAGTTCTTCATCTGCGTCGTCTTCCCCTCCATCATCTCTGCCGTTTATTAGAGACCAAGTAAAGCGGCGAAATCAATACGATCCGACTCGCCGGTTATCGGAAGCTCTTTCGAAAGTTCCGGTGAGACCCGAATATCCGCTGAATCTGATATACTTCGCAGAACTCCTCGCTCAATCTATCCGACAAGGCGAAATTCAGCGTCTTCTTCTTCTTTGAGACCGCTGCCATTGCCGTCGCTATTTGCAGGAGTGCGGTCGAATGTGAAGCCAGGCACGGCGCTTGCGGTGGCTGTGGCTGCTTCCAGATTGGTTCCTACACTGCACGCTGCTATCATCAAGTCAAGGAGAGCTAGCAGCGTTAGTAGCGAGTTGCTGCAGGAGGTTTTAGGCGCTGGAGAATCAGTTTCAAATCAAGATGAAGAAGATCAGCAAGTTTTGTCTTCAAATTCAATTGGCGATTCTGCTGGAGTTGCTACTGGATCCATTTCTGTTGATGATTTTCGTTCTCTCGCTGGAGAATCTCGTCTGGAGGATGAGGATAATGAAGTTGCACTTGCTAGTCAAGAAAACGAAGCTAAAGTAAGGGAAGTCCAAGCTAGTGATATTACTGAGACCTTAGATTATGAGGCAAACTCAAAGCCTGACTTAGTCACTGCCATCTCTGCTGAACAAGAGGCGACGACCACAACGGAATCTGGAAATACTGCTGTGGAGTGTCAAAACTTGAATGATTCTGATGGGAAGTGCTTTCTTCATTCTCAATCAGATGATGCTAAGGTAAACACTGATGAAGACTCAAGTGTTGGAGACGTTAAGAAGGATGATTCAGATATAATTATACCAGATTCTAAAGAAGAGGCAGGTGGTGATTTTGTTCCTCATGATGGAAGCTCAATGTCTGGCATTTCAGAGCTTGTAGAAAAAAGGATTAGTGAGTTGGAAAAAGAAAGGATAAATAACAGAGAGAAACTAAAATCACGATCTTTTAGGAAGCAGCTTGTCTTGGCTGAAGAGTTTGAGAAGAAACAAGCATATACTGGTTTGCATTGAGAGGAAGGGGCTGCTGCTCAGCCAATGAGACTCGAGGGTATTAAGATCGGTTCGACAAATTTAGGTTACTTTGATGTTGATGCTAACAATATCATCACCCGAACCATTTCATGGCAGGCATTTAAGCGAGACCATGGCTCTCCTTAGGTTTTGGCTGTTAATTTGAATTTTATTGCTGTGGGTACATCCAAGGGGGTCATCGTCGTTGTACCAAGTAAATATTCTTCTGATACTGCAGATCAAATGGAATCAACGGTTATCTTATACATCATCACTTATGTCCATTATAGGTTATTTGTTTAAAAGGGTCTCAAATTATTCACATTTATGTTTACAAAATTGTAGATGATTTGGCTAGACATGAAGGAAAATGATGGTTTTGTTGATATTTAATTGGGTTTTGTTTATTTATTTTTTTACTTCTTCTAGGATTTTATTTTCTTCCACAACGGTGAGAAAGTTGTTACTTTGTCAGGTTAGTCACGATTTAGGGTTTTTTAGAGGATTCAGTTTGAATTCTAGTAAATGGTATGTGCTTTTGGGGAAAAATGGTATGTGCAACTCTGGATTTTATTGATTTGATTCCTTAAGAATATTTGTTTGTGTGTGTTTTGTTGAGTTGAGTGTGTGTTTTGTTCAATAACATATGAGAATGGAATGATGGTTTATAATTAGTAACGTTGAGAAATTTGTGGTTCTTAGTTATGAATGATTATAAATTGTTTCTGTTGTATCATGTTTCCAAGGAAGGAGATATGATAGAGTTAGATATAGAGCGGCTTGATGGTTTTTACAAAGATGGATTTTCGGTTCAGGATATGGAGCAGCTTGATTTTTTTTTTTTTTTTTTTTTTTGTTAAAGGGTCATCATATTGAAATTTTTTTGGGTTTTGGGTTTTACAATTTACAAAACAGACAATAATGAAAAAAAAGAAAACTAAAAGCCCATAAGGGGGAAATAAAATTAAAGCCCAAAAACGAAAACCCTAAAAGGGCCCGGTTTGTAGATGAACCAGCAACAAAAAAGAACTAAAACCGGCTAAACCGGGAACATGCAAACCCTAACCCTAGACGCAAAGACGAGAAACTCTAGGAGCCCCCGCCGCCACCTTCACGCTAGAGGGAAAACGCCCCACTCGAAAGCCTGAGCCTTTACACCGGAGAAACTCGCCACCGACTAGTAGAGAAACCGAACAACCGGAAGAAACCCGAAGTGGGAGAAAAGAGCAACCACGCCTCCGGGAACAACACTAAGCGTCATCACCTTGATAGCTTGCCGAAATGAGCTTGAGAAAACGTGATTCAGGGAAAGAAACAGATCCGGACACACATAGACAGCGCAAGTGGGAGGAAAGTCCGTACCACGCCTCACACCATCTAGATTTGCCCGTCGCCGGTGGCAGCCGCCGCCGCCCGAGAGTTCTTTCAAGAGCCGCCGCCGTCCTCAAGAGCCGCAACCTTACTCGTAAGCCCCTGGCGGATCATGCAACCAAAACCTTTCTCAACGCACCTCGCCACCACCCCAACTCGCAAACCACGGAAACTTCGCCGGCGGAAACAGAGACAAAACCCAAGACATAGGTCTTAGACGAAGAAACTCGAGCGATGACCCTTGAGGAAGCTTCCCCGGACCTTGTCCTCATGAGATCCGGTTCTGCAAAGAGCCGCCGCCTTCACTCACCGCTGAGACAAAGCAGAAACGCCGGAAAAAGACCCGCCACCAAACCTGGACTGGAAACACCACCGAAACCGAGGGGAGAAGCACCAGGGCAAAAGAAAGCAACAAGACCAGCCCTCTCGCGGCTCCGACAAGACCGCCGGAGGCCGGAGAGGAAGAGAGGAAAGAAGACGGTTGTTCTCGAGAGAAGAGAGAGAAAAGAGAGATGCCGCTCAAAGGCCTCTTAGTTATTATGGAGCAGCTTGATGGTTTTTGTAAGGATGGTTCTTCAATTTAGGACATGGAGCGGTTTGATGGTTTTGGGCATGTTGAAGCTTCACTTTAGAATATATATATATTTTTTTATGTTATGGTTTGTTGAATATTTATGTTGAAGTTTAAAACCAGAATATTGGCAATCAATTAAACTTTTTATCATCAGAGACATTTAATGTTAATCCAGCTGAAATCGATTTGAAATTAAATGATGTAACTTCTAAATCAAATTTGAATTTTTTTTCCAATAAGTTTTTTTGATATAAATGAAATAATTGTTTCATCTGATGTGTTATTATACATTCTTTTCTGCAATTTTTATTACAATTTTTAACTCAAATTATTGTATTTATTGAATAATTATTTGAGTATTGATAATACAAATATCAAACTTACATAATAAGTAACCAAATCTATAGTTGATATGTTTAACATTTTTATTGAAAGTTGTCAATAAAGCTGTTTTCGTATCATCTTATTTGTCAGCTTTATGTCATTCTTCATCTCTTTCAAGTAACCCATGAGCAACACATGATTCTTAAAATCTTTTATGTTATTTTCCATTTACAGTTAACATATCTTCAAAACTTGGAGGTCTTTTTAGGTGATTAATTAGAATTCTAAGATAATATAGTTCACCAGACAAAAGATGAACATTATACAATCTTCCAATTGATTGATCCTTTTTTTCTTTTTGTCCATGTGTGATCTGATTTATTCCAAGCGTACCTTGACGAAAATTGAACATATGATAACTTTTTGGCATCAGGATTTGATTTGTTCATCTCTAAATAAGCCATAAACATACTTAGTCTGCTTTCATAATTAGTAGCAACACTATTTAAATCACTTGAATTATTAAAAAGCACAAGTTGCTGACCAGGAAGGTGTATGCTTAGTCTATAGACTGGAGGATGCTAACGATGTATCTCAAATTTAAAAATTAGCCATATCGAATTACAAGCGAATACATATCGACAATCAAGATAATTTTCAATATCAATTATATCGTACTTAACTACATCAGAATTAGCTGTACTATTATTGACACTGTTTTCCAGCACAACTGTAGCTTTATCAATGCCTTTTGTAATATACTTGAATAGATATTTAATTGCATTTGTTTTATTGCAAAATCCAACATTAATATGCGCTCGAAAAAGTCTTAATAGCTCTAAATTATGGGGAAAAACATATTGATTATCTAATTTGATATCACATTTCATAACATTACTAGACATTACATTTCTATGCCTATATATAATAGCCCTGTTCTTTTTGTTAACGCTGCGTCAGCGTCAGCGACCACAAAAAATACAGAGGGAATTCAGCAAATCGGACACCAGCGGTGATGGATTGAAGACGCAGCGGCAATAGACACCTTAATTAAACTTGACGCCGGAAAAAAATAGCTGCAACAACAATCATATTTTCCGACGCAGCGTTTTCGTTTCTAGGTTTATGGGAAGCTTTCAATCTGCCACGTGTTTATTTTAAAGTTTCCAAACTTTAAATTTATGGTCGCTGACGCTGACGCAAGCGTTAACAAAAAGAACATGGCTAATGTATCCTTTTTCATCAATACATGATGAAAGACAAAATGGTCTGGGATATTTTTTAGTGCAAACACCATTCTCCATACAAGAGTTATTTGGTCTATTAAGTCAACATGGTCTATGCATTATATGTTGTTCTACTAATTTATAATCTTCAAGTCAATTACTCTATCAGACAATTCAACAGTAACATATTTATCAATATCAATTGAGGAAGCAATATCACATCCACAGTTTAACTATATAAGAATATGTGCATGGGAAGACCTCTTTTTGAAACTCAATTGTATAAACTACTACAGAAAAAAAGAAAAAAAATCAGTATATAAATAATTAGATTTTATCTAAATAATTTTAAAACCCAAACATAAATATATGTACTTCCATTTATCGGTCCAAAAAATTCATTGTTTTTAATTAAAACCATTAACTCATCTAATTTTAAATGAAAAACTCGTGATTCAATATCAGGCCTGTCATTGGCCGATGAATCACCAGTAATTTCTAAATATTCATTTATTTCATTCCATTTTGCATTTTGATATTTTCTGTCATATATCTTGGACTTTCGTAATTGATGATGGCAATATAATTCTTTTACCAAGACTATGTGGATCATGATCTCTCTTTGATATGGCGTCCTTTACATTATTATATACATCAGCTCTTATTGCCTTTTGATTAAGTATAATAAATGTCAGATGGCTTGCCTCAATAGATATAAATGCATCTACAACATATTGATGAAATAATCTACCAATTTTTAAAAGAGTGGATGCTTCGATGTTTCTGTTATGTATACAATACATATAATATTCTGTCATTTTAACATAGCTATTATTGTGATCGGATGATGACCTTTAAACATATGGTAATTCTTCGAAAAACCCAACTTTTTCGTAAGAAAATAATAATGGATATTGCAAAGCTATATAAAGAGGATGAGTTACCAAGATTCTTTGGAAATTGCCTGAGTTAGGTTGAAGAAGAACATCTCGTTTGCCAATAGTTTTAGAAAAATCACCAATTATTAAACCTACTATCTCATTAGCTGATGGCAGATTATATTGTCTTTTCCTTTTATCATATCCTATCATATGAATTTTCATTTCACAAATATGACCACTTTCATATCTATCTCTAGCTTTTTTAAAGCATTTAACTAAAGTGTTAATTTCATCAAGCATATTAATTAAGGATGATAAAAAAAAATCATTTAATGAATTTTTACCCTCTCGATTAATAATTGATAATCGATTTTATAATTCATTAGATGTACCAAATATATACATCTGTAAGATTTTAGGATTTTCACCATCAATTGGTAAAAAAGATCCAATACTATGATAATTATCACCATGTACTTTAAAACAAGATGGACTACCAAAATTTAAGATTGAATAATCTATTTCAGCACCCATAGAACACATAGAGAACATTGAATTAAAAACTCTAATGTTTTTCTTAGAAGTGGGATCACATAGAAGGTTTTTTTAGCATAATAGGAGGCTTTTGTATATTAGGTAATTTTACACGACTTTGTTTACAACAAATAATAAATAAAGGACATTTTGTAATATGATATTTTTATATGCTCTCAGCAAGCCATAATAAAGCATTACAATCTTCACACCTCATTAATTTATTATGTTCTAATTTTTTAACCTTTTTTTTTCTTGCCTACCAAATATTTCATAATATTATTAAAACAAGTTTTAATTTTCATTAATTAATTATATAACAAATATGTAAATAATTTTACTTTTTTTCTTCTGGAAGTTGGTAATATTTTCGTTTTGTTAAACTTATTATTCCAGAAAATAAAACTTACTTAAGATAATATTTTAAATTAATTATTAATTAGTGACTAAAGTTTATTTTAACAAACTATTAGAAAATAGAACATTGTAATTTTCTTTACTAATTGCTTTAGATCTTTCAACATCCATTAGCACATATACACATTCTGAAATAATAGTAAATTAAATATTAAATTTATGATATTAAGATTATATACTATATTATTATTATAATAATCTATATATATAATAAAAGAAGTGTAAATACCTGCATCTTTAATTTTTAATGGACATCCTAAAATAAAATAAAATAAAATAAGAATAACAATTTATTATAACGTAACTAAAACTAAAACCCATTAAAATAACAATTAAAATTAATACCTTGTTTGTTATAAAATTCTAGCATCCCAATATTTCTATTTTCATTATTTTCGTATTCAATTTTCACACGCATTATAAAACTATTTTATTTATGTTTTTGAAATACTGACATCTTATGTTATTTATAATAAATAATAAAGAAAAATGTTTTAAGAAGTTTTACATTTAATAATACTTTTTGTTCAAAATGAAAATTTAGTTTAAAGTGAAAAATTACAATGGTAAACTTGTTGGTTACTTGAAACTGAATGATAAATTGTAAATTTGGATGATGATTGAACCTTGTACAATGACACTTCTCTTAAAAAGTATTTCAACCCTTATCAAGCTTTGAGTTAGACAAAAACCATTGTAGGGTAAAACACATTTCTAATGGTGATATGTGTTTTTCCAAAAAAAATTTATGATCTTTTGGAAACGTGAAACTCTCTCTTACTTTCTTTCTAATTTTCTTTGCTTCAATTTGTTTTCTGTTTTTGTTGTGATTTTGGCAATGCCCACAACTCATTTTATAGGAAACCAAATGTCACTTCCAAAGATTACAATGGTTGACTATGGTGCAATGATTGATCATCAACTAGTGCAATGGTTAGTCACTGAATAATATAACCATACGCCCAACAATTGCAATGGTTAGTAATCAAAATGAATGCAAATATTCATTTTACCAGTAACAACAGTTCTTCAATATGTATTAAATCTGGAAACAAAGATTGTTAACCATTAGATTGATTTTTTTTTAACAACCAAAACGAAAAGTTATAATGTTCATAAAATTGCAATGTTTTAAGTATAAAGTTGCAATGTTTTAACTATGTGCCTATTTAGATTAAATCTATATTTTTTTAACATTTAGAAAATGATGTCAGCAATCAAATTCTAACCATTAAATTTTCAAATCAAAACAACGCCTACTAGATTTATCATTTTTTTCCTACAAAAAATAATGACATCAGCAGTTAAAAACATTATTTTGCTATTATATATAGATTTGTTTAAAAGGGTCTCAAATTATTCACATTTATGTTTACAAAATTGTAGATGATTTGGTTAGACATGAAGGAAAATAATGGTTTTGTTGATATTTAATTGGGTTCTGTTTATTTATTTTTTTTGCTTTTTCCAGGATTTTATTTTCTTCCACAATGATGAGAAGTTGTTATTTTGTCAAGTTAGTCACGATTTAGGGTTTTTGAGAGGATTCAGTTTGGATTCCAAGATGGATGTTGAAATGGGTTCATATTCACATGTATTGGTAACGGTGTTGTTGTATGGTATTTAGGTGCACCGGTTCGATTTGGTGTATGAACCGGTTTAGAATCTAAGGCTGGATATTCATTAAGCCCAATCTGAAATGAATTGTTAGGATGAAACCAGACCAATACAAAGAATCATCAACAGATTTCAGATTCGATATCATCAACAGATTTCAGATTCGATTCCCTTATCTATACTATAAAAGATGGTCAACTCTTTTCATATGAGTGTCACCTCATCATTTTGGTTTATTGTGGAAATGACATGTGTCATTTTAAACAATTTAATGATACAAATTATATAAAATACAGTTAATGCATAAATTTAATATATTATTAATCATAATATTAAAAGAATATGAAAAATATGAAGATTAGATAATATATTTTAATAACAATATATACTTAATATCTAAAAATAATTATTGAATATCTATTTTATGGTAGTTTTAAAAATCATTAACAAAATTTATGTTTTATATTTAAGAGTGTTTTCTTATTTTTAATTAATATTATAAGATATTATTATAAAAACAATTATACAAATATAAAAATAACAATTATTTGATATTTTGAACTTTAAAAAGTTAGAAGAAAAATTTATACAATATTATAATAAACTTTAAAACAATTACTTTATAAACTAATAATTATTTGATAATTTATTTTATTCAAACTTGATTCATTAATAATTATAAAATTAATAAGATATCTAAGTCCTAATATATATATATATATATAAATTAGAATTATAAATCAATTATTTAAGCTCATAAAAATATAAAATCACGGTATTACTATTGTATAAATCTACGCCGTGAACAAGTATAACCTGTTAAAATGTACTTTTCTGATTTACACTATATCCATTTAATATATTCTATATATACAAGGTATAATATATTTCACATTTTCTTATCAATAAACTATTGATCACATATATAGTCAATATCCACAAAATATGTAAATATGTATTGTTTGTTTATTCAAATACACAATATCCTTTAAAAAATTTTAAATATACGATAAAATGTAACTACACTTTTTAATAAATTATATTGTGAAAACAAAATCCGCGTAACGCGCGGATACTCATCTAGTTGTTACCTAAAACCATACCAGATCCCAAATATTGTCGAGACAAGACAAAACAAATAATAATACTGCACTACATAAAAACAAAATGCAGAAAGAAAAGAGTTGTCAAGTCTTGTTGGCTCAATTTCATTTATCGTCAAAATCAACAAACATTAAAAAAAAGATCCTAAATTTGGGAGCCAAGTCAAAATCCTAAATCATTAACAGTGGCTGGTTCAATGTAGCTTTTACCTTGATCAGTAGAGAGATAAATCAACAAGGTTTTGTTTGTCTCAAATGATGATAACCAGTTTACAAGAGAAGAAGGCACGTTGATGGACATGGCGGAATCTGGATCTTGCTCGCAAGCTCGAGGAACAGGCTGTAATTGAATGGGAACAAATGTCGACTTCAGACCACAACAGAGTCTCTAATAAACGGGTTCTTGTTATCGAAGCAGTTTCTTCATATAGCATAATCGAGCTAGAGATTACGAAATCGAAACCTGACCAAAGTCCTGGGCAATGGAATCGAACCCTAGACCGGATTTGAGATCGACAGGAAACGCGGGGAAATGAGGGAATGCGTCGTGCAAGATGCGGGGAAGGGGAGAGGAGTGGTGAGTGAAAGCGACGTCGTATCCGTCTCCGCCATTTTTGCCGGTGAAAGCTTGAAGCAGCTGCTGACCCAAGTAGCCCGTACCTCCCACAATCACCACTTTCGTCGTCTTCTTCTCCATGGCTGCTGCTGACCCAAAGTAAGCCGATGTTTTCTTTTATTTAAAAAATCTTACTCCTTTTCTTCTCTCACCAAATTTAAAATTACTAAATCGAAATCATTCCGTCTGATCCAATGGATTAAGAAGTAAGATCAATCAATAATGGTAAAGCAGTTTCAAGGCGATGTGGAAAGGAAGATATCGTCATTGCCCCAAAAAATTATAGAGTTTAATCTTTTCAGACATTATCGCAAGAAGCTGAAAAAAATGTCAAAACTAAGGACAAGGGACAGGTGACCTAGAACTACCCCTGTTCTTGTTCTTAAGAACTCTGTTGGCACTGTTCTTAAACATATCATAGATTTTTTTGTAGCACAGAAAGAAAAAAAAAAAGAAAGAATGTGTTGTTGATTGCAACATAAAAGAAGGAAGGTTTTTGTTTGTCTTGTGGCTTTCTATGAAAGCTGAGAGAGAGTTCAAAAGAGTCACTGTCTATTTCTCGTGCACAAGAGGGCTGTAAATTGGGAACCACATGTTGCGTGTGATGTAATTCACTGTCTCCTCCTGTTGAATCAAAATCAAGTATGCGATTAGATTCAATTTCTAGTACCTCTCAAGTCAAGTTTGATACAAATCTCAGTTTTTGTTGAATACCTTAGACATGTGACTGAGATCTTTGGGACCAACATCGCCATGTCCTTCTACAATGTCATCAGCAACCGCAGCTCGTAGAACAGCAGCCCCGACTTCAGCTGTTATGTGTCGGATGCTGCATTTTGTTCATAACACAATCACTTAATATAACTCTTTTTAGATTTAAAACTAACAAACGGATGAGAAGGAATCAGAGGAAATACTTGTTGATTGAAGGGTAAAGGATTCCTTTTTGGACTTCTTCGTCGGTCATGTAGGACGCAAGGCTGTGTACATTTTAATGTATAAATCAAAAAGCTCCAATTTTGTAATTTTTCTGGAAATAGAAGAGAACCAAACGCGATCTTACCATTCAGCAGCTGCTAGCAGCATTCCATCAGTTACAATACGTGCACCAGAGAGAAGAGTCCCTAACCCGATCCTGGAAACGATAATAAGCACACAAGTTGTTGATTTTGCTAAGTTTATGGATTGAAATGCGATTCAGTGAAAAGGCAGTTTTCAAGAAAGAAACCGAACCCGGGGAAAAGGTACATGTTGTTGGCCTGATTCACATGCCCAACTTTACCATTCTCTACAAGTTGCGAAAACAAAAACGAAATGTTTTTTTACACATTTTTTAACAAATTATTCACAAAAGCCATGTATGAATCTTACTATATAACATACCAAGTTCAACGTTTTCAAATGGGCTTCCGCTTCCAAAGACTATGTGTTCTCCAGCGTGCTTAAATGCATCAGCAGCAGTGCACTCGGCTGTCACACAGAAAAAAAAGTGTTCAGAGCAGATCTTTGTTTCGAGGAAATGTTACATTATATCGAAGATATAATAAAAAACACAAACCATTCAAGGTGGGATTCGACATAGCAAAAATGGCGGGCTTGCATGAATCAGATTCTCTCATTGCCTTGAGAACCTTTGCATATTTGAAACCAATTAATCATACAAGTAAAACTGTTATAACTAATATATATCGTAAAACTATATGCTTGTCGAAAAGGTCACCTACTTCTTCACTGAAGATGCCACCAACTCCAGATAAACCAAGAAGAACATGTGGCCTCACTGTCTTCACCTGAACAAATTTGTACAAGACTATATTTTTACGTCTAACCCTCATGGACAGTAGTAGAGAAGGAACACAATAAGGCTTAGGCTTACCACTTCAACGATACTTGCTCCTTCACGTATCTCAGCTGGATTTTTAGCAAAAGGTACAGCTGCTGGGTCAAGTTTCGTCCTCTCCGTGGTGACAAGACCCTGAAGCCCAATCAGTCGTTTTCATTAGATCTTATGAGGCAAGCAGATGTATAAAACAATATGCTGACCAATGCAAAAAAAGAATGGCAAATGGATAACTTTTAAAAAATGTTTTTGACTTCTTCTAGGTAAACTCTTAGTGGATAGCTTAAAACAATATCCAAAAGCAAGCTCTAAAAATGACGCTAACATATGACAGTTTCAAAGTCAACTTACCTGTGGAATTGGAACTACGCAAGCATTGTTATTTCTTATCAAGCAAGAAAAACCCCATTGGGATAAAAAGTCAAGTAGGGGAAAACAGAAACTTACATCTTTATCTATCAGGTAAAAGTTTTTCGTTGCAGCAATCTCACTGATCCCTGCCATCCTCGCAACTGCCTGTACTGCCATCTTAGTTACACCGAGCCCTGCACTGAAAGCAGTAGAAGAAATGTACAATACGAAGATGAGAAGAAAGTTACTGCAGAAATGTAAATACACTAGTAGAAGATTTACAAGTGAGTATCCAAGTACCTTCCAGCTCCCACGACAACAATCTTTTGGTTCACAAAGTCGGATAAAGGCCGACCTTGAGCTCTTACAGTTCCCAATAGTCCCGCGAGAGCAACACCAGCAGTTCCCTGTGAAACCATACGCCACCTTTTGTTACTTCAACAAAAAAAAAGGTTTACAGAAAGTGTAGCTAAAGAGTAAAAGCAGCTGAATTGCAATGAATGAGAGAGAACATACCTGGACATCATCATTGAACATGCAAAACTTCTTCCGATACCTTTCCAAAGTTTCAAAAGCCCATTTCGCTTGGAAATCTTCGAACTATTATAATTGGAAAGAACCATTTAGTCATCATTACCACCAAAAAAGGTATATCCAAAGTAGAAACTATAAGATATATATACCTGTACAACGGCCTTAGGCCAACGTGTAAATGCAGCTTCCATAAATTCATCAATGATCTCAAGGTACTCCTCTCCTTCCAACCTAGGTTGTCTGAGTCCTAAATCTGTAAAACGGAGAAGATGCATGAACAAGCTAATAAAGGAAGGAAACACATCCATAGAAAAGTACATCATATCGGCTAATCAAAGTCGCTTACATAGAGGATTCTTTAGCAGCTTTTCGTTATTCGTACCCACATCCAACATAATAGGCAAAACCTGCAGAAGAAGAAGAAGAAGAAGAAGCGTATAGTTTCGAATGAGGAGACGAGATGAAACACGTGTGTTTGTACAGACGGAAGAAAAAACAAAAACACAAAGGACATACTCTCTGTGGGTTGATTCCTGCAGCAGAGACGTAGATGTCGAGCTTTCCAATAGGAATCCCAATTCCCTGGACTCCGAGGTCTCCTAAGCCAAGGATACGGCTACCGTCTGTGATCACAATCATGTCTACTTGCTGAGCTGGCCAGTTATATATCATAGACATCATCTCTCCTTTGTCTTTCGCACTGAAGTACATCCCTCGCGGTCTTCTATACAAACCCGAATAGTTCTGACAAACCAGCCCAACCGTGGGTGTGTATATAATCGGCGCAAAGTCTTTGATGTTATCAATAAGGACCTGCAGAGAACAAAGAGCTTTTATGTGTCGGTCATGTCGAGTTGATAAAAAAACAGACACTTTGAAAAAAAAAGGCGGCAGAGCCAAACTCACTCTGTAGTACAAAGTCTCGTTACGGTCATGCAATCTATTGAGGATCCTCCATTTTGCTAATGACACAACGTTCTCTGGTTGCCCTTTTGTGTTCCTCTCTAGTGACCGAAACGACTCGACTGCCAAATTTTATTTATACCAAAAGCTCTCAGAAAACTTATACAAATGGACCCAAAAGGTGTCTCGTTTCCACTTAATAAAATGGGAGACTTACTGAAACGGTCATATTGCTGTTCAAAGGAGATAACACGAGGAGGAAGCAAGCCTCTAAGCCCCAATCTATCTCTCTCAGTCAAAGGGAAACCTGTGTCCTGCAAGTAGAGACACTCAATCAAATGAGAAGAGAAAGACTTTAAATCTTAATCCAAACAGAGCATTAATCGCTGACTTTGATTTATTAGAGTTTACAGGATTTCTTAGTGTTATAAACTCACTAACCATCAGCATTATGAGTGTTAATCAAAGGAATCGTTTAGAACCCTAAAATCAGAGAAATTCGATTTGAGAAGGAACACAGACGATACAGAAACCTTATTAAACCACGGATCGTGAAGAATATCGGCACCACGCTTGTGGACGATGCAAGGACCAGGAATCGCCGTCGACAAGCAGCGCCGAGATCCGCGGGTTCTTGCCGCCGCCGCTTTCGAGAACCCAGCAATGTTCCTCCACATCATCGGTCCCGGAAAATCACTCTCAAGATCCGACCAACGAAAAACCCCCACACACTAGAGAATTGCAAACCGCAATTCGATGGTATGACAAGTTCAACACAAAATTGAAAAAGAAAAAGGGCTGAAAATGGGGAGAGAGAGATGAGAAATCTCTGGGTTTTGTGGAGTATAATTAGTCAAAACTCAAAAGTATAAAAACACAAGCTTTGCTTTTGATCTATTATCCTTCCTCTTCAAGTGTGAATTCAACGTTCCTCTCCAGCTTTGATAGAGAGAGAGTAAGAGGAAGCTGTCTGAGGAAGAGGAAGATGTCTGGAGCTGCCCGGGGATTAGTAAGAGAGAAAGGGTCAGACAGTAAATAGCATTTACTTCTGTGTATACATTATTCCTTCCGATTTTTTTTTTTATTTTCAGAATTTTCCTTTTTTACAATTCAAAAGGAACAGAGAAATTTGGTTAAGTTGCCCGAAAGAAAACGGGCAGGAGGGGTATGAACGGAAATGTGAACATAGAGGGGGGAATGAGATTGCCACGTGTACGGTGTTGAATCATCTTCCTCGCAAATTGGGGTTGAAGATTAGAGGTGAAAAGACATTGACCAGCTCGGCGTCATAGATCACTGAAATCTAAAACGTGTTTCAGTGTTATCGAATTCCCGCTTTTGCCCTTGCGTGTCCCTCTGGTAAAATATATTACTACTTCCTAAATAAAAATTCGAAGAAGATAATAAAATTAAAAAAAGGAAAGGAAGAATAAATTGAGATTCGAGCATTTTAAGAGTAAACCATCCTTTTAAAACTATTCGCTGCGGCTGCTTGAAACCGTCAGCTTTTAAGTCTCTAACCATCACCACTGCTTCTTCTTTTTCTACCCTTCGTCCATGTCTTTTTAGGTAAAAGTGACTTTGGAACCAATAATAAAAATTTATTATTCCACGCCAAAAACAATAATACCAACATTATTATTTAAAAGTTATTTCGTGTTTTCTCGACAAGTTTCAAATACCCATCACAATCACATGTACGAGTAATCTTGATTTCAAACGTGTATACATAGCAAACAAAAGTGTGCAGCTTTTTTTAATTGATGAAAGATGTATATTGCATCATTTGGTTTTATGACCTTAAAGCACACGACATGCTATAAAGAATATAGGAATAATTACTGATAATGTCATTCATTGAACATCATACGCAAATTCTAGCTATATTAGTCATTTTGGTATATCATCAACTGAGTCACGTACGTACCTTTCAAATGTAGATTCTTAAAGCACTAATTCGAATGTAAAATCGCATAACAATGTTTCAAAACCCAGATGGATTCTGCCTTAGATAAAACCGACCCACACACACACATATACATATACTGATGAATTGGGTTTTGGAATAACATGAGATTACTTAACTTGTGAAGATTCCATGTGTTCTACATGGCAAGGGAAAAGACAAATTTATTATGGTCACAGTACTTTGAAAAATGAAGGATAGATCTAGAAGGGTTATTTCCTTTTCCATGCTCACATTGTCTGCAAATAAGAGAACAAGCAAAAGAGATTTCACCAAAGCAAGCAAGTAAAAACGCTTTAATGCTCTTTTTCGTAATCGTCCTTGGTTCCAAAGTTCTTGCACCACATCTGTGAAGGAATTGGGCGTACAGGCATGTGTGGTCTTTGCTGAAATCAAAACAAGGCTTTTTTCTCAAATCATGATCATTAAACAAGATAATGGAAACTATAGAGTAACATAGAGAGATACACCAAAAATATAACAACTTTAAGTGCTGAAATACTGTCACAAAGGGACTCAAGTCAAGCATTAGGCTTCGGAAAACAAAATAAATGTAAGTCCTCGATCACCTGCATCCAAACCACACCATTTTTAGGTGCACTTAAGCTGCAGGAGGCTCATACTAATTAGATTTCAGAGTCGAACTACAGCAAAATAATCAATAAAATTTACTCATCGCTGTTACATAAACAACATACAACGTAAAGAAACATGACAATGGGAAAATGGGTTTGGGGAGCTCAAGAGATTCAGAGGGTGCAAACATCACAGATAAGTTACCATTTGCGAATATACTACAAACAGATATCGTCACGGATACAGCTGATGAATCATTGGCAACGACTAAGAATTCATTAAATAACAAATGTAATTAGGTAGGAAAAGGTTGTTAATTTCACTGAACCACATTTGAAAGTTCTTCAGGACTGCCTAAACCAAAGCTCTCTCTTACAATATAGATTCACGCAGACAGTATGACCAGAAACATCCACATTTGCAGGACGTAGGCAGAAATTTATCTCTACTGAAAGGTTATCAAAGACAATACAAAGGTTCTCTCAACCATGCTAGACACTGAATTAGAATAGGCAAAAACAGAATCATCTTCACATATCCAAATACTAATGACAAACACAGACTAACAAAATTATACTATGTAGTGATTCTCTAATTCGTCATTCCGAATCCAAGTTTCTGTCAAAACATCACCTTGAAGCAAAGAAATGACGTATTTTTACCTCGAGCTCCGCAGACTTCATGGCGATGGGGATGCAGACAAGGAAAATGCCAAACATAGCCATGGCGGTGTTCCGACGCCAATGTTTGGGCCTGCAGTAAGGCCCACCAGACATACTCCAGACTTTGGCTCTGAAATCGCCACCTTCTCCTCCATGTCCGTGCTCTGCTCCTCCCATTTTATTTCCTAGATCGGAAAATCGATCAGTTCCACAAAACACCCAATTCCTTTTTGACTGAATCGATAACGAAGATGAACAGATCGAGCGGTAACATAAAACCAAATGCTATAAACCCTAGTCCGCTAACGGCTCAATACTACCGACATTGATGACAGATTCTGCGAATTGAGTTTTCAAATAGCATGATTCCTTCGAACTGGTGACCAGAGGATCGGCTTACCTTGGCAAAGTCAGAAGGGTTGCAAAGAAATAAGACGACGAAGATGATGATGAGACCTTCTTGCGCCTGTGCTCAGGAGTCACAGTAAGAGGAAGGTGAATGAAACAAGTGATGGCATTTGTATGTAATTTATCTGAATACTGAGGGTTGGAGATCTATTGCGTTGACTATAGCAATATTATCTCCAAAACGACACGAAGTTTACCTCTCTAGTTAGGGAACGGTGGTAAATTTTTCACCTTCACGTTAACTCCCGATTCCAACGGGGTGTCGCCTGAAAAAACGATGGCTTGCGACGGAGCAGATAAAAGTCGACGCTTTTTCGTGGCGGTTCACGTCGGTGCCGGATATCACTCGGTGGCGAACGAGAAAGCTCTTAGATCCGTTATAAGGCGCTCTTGCCTAGCCGCTTCGACTATTCTACGCCAGGTCCCATTTCGGTTGTCTTTACACGATCAGATTTTTTTTTTCGAATCAAAGATAATCACGAATCCCAAATAAATCTCATGAAAAACACGTACGATGGACTGTAGTCAAATGATGTGTGATCTTTGCTTTATCTGTTAAATTAGTATTCTGGTGGGTGCATAGATGCTGTTTCAGCCGCCATTGAAGTCCTCGAGGTATGTACTTGTTCGACCTTTCACCTTGGTTAAAGAGGAAATGACTCTCTAGTGTCTGCAACGGCTGCTTAACTTTTCTAGTGATTCCTATGTGAATCTTTGTTACACAATAGGACGACCCGAGCACAAATGCTGGTAGAGGCTCTAATTTGACAGAGGATGGTCATGTGGAATGTGATGCTAGTCTTATGGATGGCGATTCAGGGATGTTTGGAGGCGTTGGAGCAGTTCCAGGTACTTATCTCAACCTTCTTCTTTGTGACATTAGTATCAAATTACGATATTTACGGAACTGCTGAAGATTTTGGACGATAAAATGTAGATCAGGTGTCAGAAATGCCATCAAGATTGCTGCTTTGTTGTTGAAGGAGCAGATGAATGGCTCAACCCTATTAGGCCGTATACCTCCAATGTAAGGAATCACCCTTCGTTGTTATGATATCACAACCCAGCTTGAGAATCTGTTTCGTCAAACATTGAACTTTTTGAGCTGCCTCCCCAGGATGTTGGTTGGTGAAGGAGCTCGACGTTGGGCCAATTCCAAAGATGTTCTTTTGCCTGAAACTGTCACAGAAGCTGATCAGGTTGAGATTTCCGCATTCTCTTGCTTTACTATCAATCACTTGGCTGTTTTATTCACTGAGAATTAAGTTTGAAGGATTGTATGTTGAAACAGTGGCTGGTTACAGAGAGAGCAAGAAATCAGTGGAGAAAGTTCAAGACTATGCTTTCTGATGTAGAGGCAAAGAGTAAACTAACTTCTGAAGAACAGCCCAGGGAAACCGAGAAGAATGAAGCATGCGAGGAAAAGTCATTACCGTGCGCAGCAGTAGATGAGGATAAGATCATGGATACTGTTGGCGTTATTTGTGTTGACAGTGAAGGACACATTGCCTGTGGATCCTCAAGTGGCGGCATTGCAATGAAGGTAAATAACAATCAATTCCTAGTTCTTTTCTTCTGAAACAAAACAAAAAACTGATTTTTTTCATGTTTTCTGATGTTGCATTTCAGATTAGCGGCCGCGTAGGTTTAGCAGCAACTTATGGATCTGGTTGCTGGGCATCCTCTAAAGGACCATTTGGAGCTCCATTTCTAGTTGGATGTTGTGTGTCTGGAGCTGGAGAGTATCTTATGAGAGGATTTGCAGCTAGGGAATGTTGTACTTCATTGTCCCTGTATATTTCCCTAAACCCTTCTTAATGGTTATGCTCTTTTTGGCGTGGCTTTTGCTCTTTCTGTATCCAAGCTAAACAGGGGTTTCTTATGCCCTTAGTTCACAGGCTGGTCCATCATCTGCGGCCGTGAAGGTTTTACGTTCGGTGATGCAACAAGAAGGCTCAGAAAGTGGAATTGCTGATAGAACTGCCGGAATTCTAGTGGTTCAGGCCGATGCTTCTGTAGCTGTAAGCCCAGGATTTTGAATAACCTTCTCATATTTCTTGCTTGCTTTTGGTTGTGAATCTTGCTTTAATGGTAAAGGTCCCTGGAAATAGACCAGAGCTGAAATCTGTCGAGATCGCTGCTGCTTACTCGTCACTATCATTTGGCATAGGATACTACGGGAACTCGATAAAGAAGCCAAAGGTAGGGCTTTTCCTTTAGATAGTCAAAATGGTGAAGCTGGAAAACTAAGTTTAGGATCATTGAATCTCTTTTCGTTTCCTTGGAACAGGTTTCTATTCTAAGGAAGAAGGGAGAGAAGAGTGAAGCTGGGATAGCTCAGTTTGAAGCCGGGATCGATCTTCGTCGAACGAGTTGCTGATTGATTTCTGCTCTTTTGAATCTGATTCTGTAGGAAATTTGAGGCAGTGTAGAGAAAAGTTTAAGAATATGTAACATGGGACAAACCACCCTTTCAAGATGTATTCCTTTTTTGGATGAGTTTAAAAACTAGTTTTGGATCAAATAAGAAGAAGAGAGTCAAAAAAAAAAAAGGAAAGAGATGTTAAAAGACAAATCTATATCCGACTTAAAAAACTACATAAACCAGGATAAGTTTTGCTTAAACCAAAAAGGCCAGAGAGCAATCTCTTTACTGGAAGTTGTGGATTCTCTTAGCTGATGTCAACGTGTTGGAAAGAAGCATGGCTATGGTCATTGGTCCAACACCACCAGGAACAGGCGTGATGGCTGATGCAACTTTCGAAGCCTCTTCGTAGCAAATGTCTCCAACCAATCGATAGCCACGTGGAGCATCTGGATCCTGCAGTTCATGAGATAGTATACGAGTGTCACATCCTGGATTTGATTTAATCCCATCATCAATGCATTACCGTAATGTGGCTTACCTCAACAGGGTTAATCCCAACGTCGATGAGGACTGCGCCCGGTTTAATCCAGCTTCCTCTGACCATGTTCGGCTGCCCAACAGCTGAGATAATGATATCAGCTTCCCGTGTGATTTCTTCAGGGTTCTTGGTTCTTGAATGGATAATGGTAACAGTTGCATCCTCCCTCTGCATTTACAAAATACAACCATAAAGACCAAAGACTGTAACTTGTGACTATCAGAAAAATGGCATCATGTTTACGGAAGGTATCATCATTACCTGGAGTAACAGAGCAGCTGGCATACCAACGATGTTGCTCCTTCCGATCACAACGGCTCTCTTTCCTTTGATGTCAACGTTGTATCTGTGCAGCAGCTCGATGCATCCTTTTGGAGTGCAGGGAACGAACAAGGGCTCTCTTCCCCGCATGGCAAGCCGTCCAATATTCAGCGGGTGAAATCCGTCCACGTCTTTCTCTATGCTAACCGCATTCAATATGTTCTGCTCATCCATATGCTGCATTTACATCACAAACATCACTATGCTCAACATCACTATGCTGTAATATATCTATCAATGTGTCATTGTATTTGTTAAGAAGATGATGGACGTTGTTTACCGATGGTAGAGGCAGCTGAACAAGGATTCCATGGACAGAAGGATCATCGTTGAAGCCCGAGACAGACTTCATCACTTCCTCTTCTGAGGAATCTTCAGCTAGACGAACCTCGAATGATTGTATCCCGACGGATTCACAAGCTTTCTTCTTGTTCCTCACATAAGTCGCCGAATCTTTTCTGTCCCCAACAAGGATCACAGCTAATCCAGGAACCACACCGATCGATTCCTTCATTCTTGAAACCTCGACTGTGATCTCGTCTCTTATCGTTTTCGCCACAGCCTTTCCATCAATTACCTTGTCGGATGCTGCATCAGCTGCGGAGAAGAAGAATAAATATAATGATTCTCATAACACAAGAGAAAGTGTGAATTTTTCGAATTTCTAGTCAATTAGGTGAAGAGGGCGAGTGTGTACCGGAGCGAATGGAGAGAGAGCAGGCACGGCCAGACACAGTGGTCCGTAGGCGGAGTTGGCCAACGGACTGACGGAGGAAGGTATTACTGCTGCGGCGGTTCAGATGGATGAGAAGCGACGTTGTGGAAGAGGAGCAATCCGTAAACATCATCGACGCCATGTTTTTATTATGCAAGCTAGTCTGTTCGGTCGTGGCTTCCAACTTAGGATTTAAGTATTTAACAAAAGTAAAGTAGAATTGTTTCCAGACAAATAATAAAACCAAAAAAAAAACAGAAAAAGATATGAAGATCAGAAAGAACCTGAAGAAGAAACTATGCGAAGGAACGACGCTCAAGCCTCAAACCTCAAACCTCAAGAGATATTTATGTTCCTTCAAGAACAAGCAAATAATCTTTTGATGGGGCAGAGAAAGAATATATAATGTTCCTTCCTTGCCACAGACGTACCCTAATACAATTTTCTAGACCGACTCACTTTAATAGGCCTGAGCCCAATACGATGCTCCACACACGTTTTCTTTGTGTATCTAAGAGGAAGGGCATTCAGCTCCGGCCTATTTCCAGGAACCTATAGAGTAAAATTAGAGTAAGTAAGACTCCAAACCAAAAGAAAGCAAAGAACTGAGGAGGTTCTTGAATAATTGGACTTACAGCCATAGAAGCATCCGCTTGAACCACTAGAACTCCAGCGATTCCACCCTCCTTTTGTTGCATTACAGAACGTAAAACCTTCATGGCAACGGTTTTCCCAATGGATGTAGCGGTCTCTTAACCCAGTGGTTTTCTGTTAGGTAGCTGCTTCCGATTTCCTTAATATAGCTCTTTTGTAACTTCTTGGTTTTTTATTCTTTTTTGGCCAAAGAAGATGCTGGACCAGCCTGTGAACTATGGGCATAAGGAATCCTTTCTTGGCTCTGTTACAGAAGAACAACCTACATCGAAACATGCATAACCATTAAGAAGGATAAGGGAAATATACAGGCACACAGTAAAGTACAACTCTCTCTACCTGCAAATCCTCTCATAAGATATTCTCCAGCTCTTGACACACAACAGCCAACAAGAAATGTAACTCCAAAAGGTCCTTTAGAGGATGCCCAACAACGTCAACCATAAGTTGCTGCTAAACCCACAAGGCCGCTAACCTGAAATGCATTGTCCCGAAATAGCGGATCAGTTTTCCTTTCAGCAGAAAAGAACCACTAGGCATTGATCAGTATTATGACAAGCAATGTGTCCATCACTGTCAGCACAAATAGCCAAGATCTTATCTTCATCTACTGTTTCCCACGGTAATGATTTTTCCTCACATGTTTCATCCTGCTCGACTTCCCTGGGCTATTCTTCAGAAGAAAGGCAATTCTTTGCCTCTACCTCGAAAGCATAGTCTTGAACTTTCTCCACTGATTTCTTACTCTTTTTAACCAGCCACTGTTTAAACATACAATATTTAGAAAACAACCAGATGATTGACAGTGAAGCAAATAAAATGTGGAAATCTCTATCCTTATCAGCTTCTGTGACAGTTTCCGGCAACAGAACGTCTTTAGACATGGCACATCGTCGAGCTCCTTCACCAAACAACATCCTGGGGAGGCAGATCAGAAAGTTCAAGGCTTGCAGAAACCGATTCACAGCTGGGTTGTGATATCAGAACAATCTAGTTGATTCGTAACATTGGAGCTATATGGCCTAGTAGGCTTGAGCCACCCATCTTCTCCTTCACCAATAAAGGAGCAATCTTGATGGCATTTTCTGACACCTTATCTACAGTTTATCGTCTAAAATCTTCAGAAACTCCATAAATACAGTAATTTAACACGCAAGTTACAAAAAGTACCAGGAACTGCTCCAACGCCTCCTAACACTCCTAAAATCGCCATTTATAAGACTAGCATCACATTCCACATGACCATCTTCTGTCAGATTATACCAGCATTTGTGCTCGATTCGTCCTATTTTGTAACAAAACTCACATAGGAATCACTAGAAAAGTTAAGCAGCCATTGCAGACACTAGAGAGTCATTTTTTCTTTAACTAATGACAAAGGTCGAACAAGTACCTCGAGGACTTCAATGGCGGCTGAAACACCATCTATGCACAGTTGCACCCTTCAGAACCATAAATTCAACAGATAAAGCAAAGATAAAGGTATGGTCTTCTGTATCATTCGGTCCATCGTACGTGTATGTCATTGATTCGAAAAGAAATTGATCGTGTAAAGACAACCGAAATGGGACCTGGTCAATAATAGTCGAAGCGGCTAGGCAAGAGCGTCTCATGACGGGTCTAAAAGCTTTCCCGTTAGCCGCCGCGTGATATCCGGCACCGACGTGAACCGCCACGAAAAAGCGTCGACTTTTATCTGCTCCTTCGCAAGCCATCGTTCATTATTAAAAACCTCAACAGGTTGAACCGGGACCCAAAGGCACATCCGGTTCGACGTCCGGTCCGGTTTTTAAAATCGGGCTAGGACGTGAAAGAACCTACCCACCGTTCCTGAATCCGAGACGTAAACACCATGCCATTTTTTGGATGCAATTTGCGAAAAATTGTTGGTGAACATAAACATCAGTACTACTCTAACTCTATAAGGCCAAATATAGATCCATTGTTCAAGCTTAGTTCGTTACATTTCAACCTTCTTTCAAGAATCTCATTTTTTTTTTTTTTTGACGAAAAAGAGTCTCTCATCATCTTCCTCGTTCATCTTCCTCGTTCATCTTTCTTCGCTCTTTGTTTTTTTTACTAAAAGAGTCTCTTGTCATCTTCCTCGTTCATCTTTCTTCGCCTGATTTCGCTATTCCGAGATATGGATTCGCTTATTTTACAGAGTGAGTTTCATGGCGCTACAGCTGCTTCTGCGAGTTACCCAAATCGAATGACAAGTTCGAAACTTTGTCCCAAAGGTTTCGTCAGTGTGGATCCGAGGAATGATTCTCAAGTTCGTCTGGCGAGAAGATTGAAATTTACTTTGAATGCTGGGTTCACTGAAAAATTCGACGGTCATCTTCTTCCTAGAAAGCAAAGGGGCTCTAGGTTTTTCTTTCATCGTAATGATTCCTTACGAGATGACCAACACGATGATGATTCATCTAGTTTGGAGGAACTCGGGTATCAACTGGTTAGGGCGAAGAAAGACCTGGAAGATGTTAGGCACAGCAAAGCCATGATCTTGAAATCAGTTCGACCGTCGATAACGCTGGGGGAAGAAGCAGCCAGTGCTAAGAAAGACCTTGAAGAATGCGAAGAAAAGTTAGCAAGCTGCAACAATGAACTCATGCGATTGCAGAAACTGAAGGACGAGCTGCAGAAGAAGGTAGAGAGCTTGAGAGATGCAGCTGAGACGGCACTGATCCAGGCATCAGAAAAAGCTAACGAAACTATGATATGGGGTGATCAAGGCATTGCTTTGAAGCGTGAGGAGTGTCAAGACGTGATTGATGCCGAGAAAGCATTGCAGCAAAGATCAGAGAGGTATCCTTTTGGTTCGCAAACCCAAGAAACAACCCAAGGCCATTGCTTATTATGTAATCTAACATTTTACTTTGTGCATTTCAGCGATGTATTGGCCAATTTCTCACTCTCCAGTTCAGCAGATACAACTGGGATATTGGGCTCAAGGTTAGCTTCCATCTTTCGCAAGATTCTCTCTACAGGTCATGATATATAGCTCTAAGAGTTTCTATTTTTAGGGAAAATGAGGAGCACAAGGAGAGAATCGTTCAAGCTGGGAGAACCGATGAGGTAACATGTTCTCCTCAGATGCTTTTGTTTATTGATGAAACTGGATGTTTTGCCAATTTCAGTCTCTTTACAGTAGTTCCGTCTGAGATTGTCGTGTTCAAAAAAGTGAAAGTGATTTTAGTGACAGTAGTGTATGGCATTCACATTTTTCTGGTAGCAAACAAAAAAATTCAAGCGTAAGCACTTGCATTTGAGTCTGGCATAAGCACATCTATGATAGACTACAAAGTTGTTTCGGAATAATTCATATTCAACTTTCTTTTAAAAGGTAGAATGATAATTACATTTTGCGGCAGACAAAGTGAATTGATATCTTTTTTTGGCCTCCTTTTTCATTGCTTTCACTAATGAGGATCTGTTTAATTGCTCTTTTCTTTGTGATAGACTCTTCGATGTAAAGTGGATTGCATACCAGCAGACTCGTATGACCAAAACGACAATGATACGTCTGGTGTGGAGGAACTCAGGTATCAACTGGTTAGGGCACAGAACGAGTTGGAAAATGTTAGAGACAGAAATGCCGGGATCTTGAAATTAGTTGAAGTGTCGGTAACGCTGGATGAAGAGGCAGTCCGTGCTAAGAAAGACCTTAAAGACTGTGAAGAAAAATTAGCGAGTTGCAACGATGAACTCACGCGTTTGCAAATACTAAAGGACGAGCTGGAGAAGGAGGTAGAACAATTGAGAGAGGCGGATGAAACGATACAGATCTATGTAGCAGAAGTTGATGATATGGTTGTCTCAACTATGATATGGGGCGAGCAAGGCCCTGCGTTGGAGCGTGAGGCTTGTCAAGACGTGGCTGATGCCGAGAAAGCATTGGAGAGAGCAGAGAGGTATATCTTTTTGGTTCAGAAACAACACAGGGCCACTGCTTTCTCACTATCATAGAATCTAACGTTTTACTTTGTGCTTTTCCAGCGATCTATTGGCCAAATACTCATTCTCCAGTTCAGCATATACCGCTGGGATATTGGGCTCAAGGTTAGCTTACATCTTTCGCAAGATTCTCTCTACAGTTCATGATATATAGTTCTAAGACTTTGTACTTTTAGGGAAACTGAGGAGTTCAAGGAGATAATGTTTAGTTTGGAGGAACTCAGGTGTGACCTAGTTAGGGCACAGAAAGAGTTGCAAAATGTTAGAGAAAGAAATGCCGGTTGCATGAGAGTTGCTGAGCTCTACTCAAAGCTACTGGAAGTAGCAGCCAGTGCTAAGAAAGATGTTACAGAGTGCGAAGAAAAATTGGCAAGCTGCAACGAGGAACTCATGCGTTTTCAAATACTAAAGGGCGAGCTGTTGAAGGAGGTGGAAAGCTTTAGAGAGGGAGCTGAGACGGCACTGATCCAGGCATTGGTAGTTGAGGATATAGTCAACGAAACTATGATATGGGGCGAGCAAGGCAGTGCGTTGGAGCGTGAGGCGTGTCAAGACGTAGTTGATGCCGAGAAAGCATTGAACAGAGCAGAGAGGTATCTTTTTGGTTCTCAAACCCAAGACAAAACCTATGGACATCTCACTATTGAAGAATCTGATGCTTTACTTTGTGCATGTCCAGCGATGTACTGGCCAATTCATCCTTCTTCATCTCAGCACGCTCAAGGTTAGCTTCCCATCTTTCACAAATCACAAGATTCTCTCTACAGTTCATGATGTATATAGCTCTAAGAGTGTATTTTTTAGGGAAAATGAGGATTACAAGGAGATAACCAGCAGTGGAGCCGACAAACTGAAAGCAGAAGATGAAGGTGTATTGGAGTCATGAGAAAACTCATCAGTTGTTCGTACAAGGAAAAAACTCTGACTTCCTTACAGGAACTTGACTATTTTGTTGGCTTTACCTCGATATCATTGTAGAGAGGAGTTTTTTGGCACAGCGTTGTTTCTCTCTCTTTACGTGTTAATAGAGTTTTAACAGAACAGATCAACTAATTGGTGAATCTCTTGGTTTTATAAATTTTTTTGTACAGATCAACTAAACTTTGATGCTTTCTTTGCTTTAATGACAATAAAGGTTAATAAGCAGAACTTTTCCGACTAAACTCTAATTCTCTCTAGATTACAAACAATCTTTCACAGAGCCTCCTCCCTTCACGGTTCAACCAATAAAATCTGGAGAAAGGAAAAAAAAAAGTACAACAACACAACATTCCGAAGAGCCCAAAGATCAAATCACGCAAACTAGTGATCCACATACAACTTTTGTATTCGTTTTTTGGATCAAATAACATGAACAGACGAATAAGAAGAACTATATAAATGTTAAAAAACGATTTTATATAAGAAGAAGTATAGAAATCTTAAAACATGAACATTAAGTTTGGTTTCATAGAAGAAGAAAAAAACACTTTGAAAGACCAGAACAAGCAATCTAAGACTGGTTTAATCCAAAAACCAGAGCAATCCTTTTTAAGGTCACTGGAAGTTGTGGATTCTCTTAGCTGATGTCAACGTGTTGGAAAGAAGCATGGCTATGGTCATTGGTCCAACACCACCAGGAACAGGCGTGATGGCTGATGCAACTTTCGAAGCCTCTTCGTAGCAAATGTCTCCAACCAATCGATAGCCACGTGGAGCATCTGGATCCTGCAGTTCATGAGATAGTATACGAGTGTCACATCCTGGATTTGATTTAATCCCATCATCAATGCATTACCGTAATGTGGCTTACCTCAACAGGGTTAATCCCAACGTCGATGAGGACTGCGCCCGGTTTAATCCAGCTTCCTCTGACCATGTTCGGCTGCCCAACAGCTGAGATAATGATATCAGCTTCCCGTGTGATTTCTTCAGGGTTCTTGGTTCTTGAATGGATAATGGTAACAGTTGCATCCTCCCTCTGCATTTACAAAATACAACCATAAAGACCAAAGACTGTAACTTGTGACTATCAGAAAAATGGCATCATGTTTACGGAAGGTATCATCATTACCTGGAGTAACAGAGCAGCTGGCATACCAACGATGTTGCTCCTTCCGATCACAACGGCTCTCTTTCCTTTGATGTCAACGTTGTATCTGTGCAGCAGCTCGATGCATCCTTTTGGAGTGCAGGGAACGAACAAGGGCTCTCTTCCCCGCATGGCAAGCCGTCCAATATTCAGCGGGTGAAATCCGTCCACGTCTTTCTCTATGCTAACCGCATTCAATATGTTCTGCTCATCCATATGCTGCATTTACATCACAAACATCACTATGCTCAACATCACTATGCTGTAATATATCTATCAATGTGTCATTGTATTTGTTAAGAAGATGATGGACGTTGTTTACCGATGGTAGAGGCAGCTGAACAAGGATTCCATGGACAGAAGGATCATCGTTGAAGCCCGAGACAGACTTCATCACTTCCTCTTCTGAGGAATCTTCAGCTAGACGAACCTCGAATGATTGTATCCCGACGGATTCACAAGCTTTCTTCTTGTTCCTCACATAAGTCGCCGAATCTTTTCTGTCCCCAACAAGGATCACAGCTAATCCAGGAACCACACCGATCGATTCCTTCATTCTTGAAACCTCGACTGTGATCTCGTCTCTTATCGTTTTCGCCACAGCCTTTCCATCAATTACCTTGTCGGATGCTGCATCAGCTGCGGAGAAGAAGAATAAATATAATGATTCTCATAACACAAGAGAAAGTGTGAATTTTTCGAATTTCTAGTCAATTAGGTGAAGAGGGCGAGTGTGTACCGGAGCGAATGGAGAGAGAGCAGGCACGGCCAGACACAGTGGTCCGTAGGCGGAGTTGGCCAACGGACTGACGGAGGAAGGTATTACTGCTGCGGCGGTTCAGATGGATGAGAAGCGACGTTGTGGAAGAGGAGCAATCCGTAAACATCATCGACGCCATGTTTTTATTATGCAAGCTAGTCTGTTCGGTCGTGGCTTCCAACTTAGGATTTAAGTATTTAACAAAAGTAAAGTAGAATTGTTTCCAGACAAATAATAAAACCAAAAAAACAGAAAAAGATATGAAGATCAGAAAGAACCTGAAGAAGAAACTATGCGAAGGAACGACGCTCAAGCCTCAAACCTCAAACCTCAAGAGATATTTATGTTCCTTCAAGAACAAGCAAATAATCTTTTGATGGGGCAGAGAAAGAATATATAATGTTCCTTCCTTGCCACAGACGTACCCTAATACAATTTTCTAGACCGACTCACTTTAATAGGCCTGAGCCCAATACGATGCTCCACACACGTTTTCTTTGTGTATCTAAGAGGAAGGGCATTCAGCTCCGGCCTATTTCCAGGAACCTATAGAGTAAAATTAGAGTAAGTAAGACTCCAAACCAAAAGAAAGCAAAGAACTGAGGAGGTTCTTGAATAATTGGACTTACAGCCATAGAAGCATCCGCTTGAACCACTAGAACTCCAGCGATTCCACCCTCCTTTTGTTGCATTACAGAACGTAAAACCTTCATGGCAACGGTTTTCCCAATGGATGTAGCGGTCTCTTAACCCAGTGGTTTTCTGTTAGGTAGCTGCTTCCGATTTCCTTAATATAGCTCTTTTGTAACTTCTTGGTTTTTTATTCTTTTTTTGGCCAAAGAAGATGCTGGACCAGCCTGTGAACTATGGGCATAAGGAATCCTTTCTTGGCTCTGTTACAGAAGAACAACCTACATCGAAACATGCATAACCATTAAGAAGGATAAGGGAAATATACAGGCACACAGTAAAGTACAACTCTCTCTACCTGCAAATCCTCTCATAAGATATTCTCCAGCTCTTGACACACAACAGCCAACAAGAAATGTAACTCCAAAAGGTCCTTTAGAGGATGCCCAACAACGTCAACCATAAGTTGCTGCTAAACCCACAAGGCCGCTAACCTGAAATGCATTGTCCCGAAATAGCGGATCAGTTTTCCTTTCAGCAGAAAAGAACCACTAGGCATTGATCAGTATTATGACAAGCAATGTGTCCATCACTGTCAGCACAAATAGCCAAGATCTTATCTTCATCTACTGTTTCCCACGGTAATGATTTTTCCTCACATGTTTCATCCTGCTCGACTTCCCTGGGCTATTCTTCAGAAGAAAGGCAATTCTTTGCCTCTACCTCGAAAGCATAGTCTTGAACTTTCTCCACTGATTTCTTACTCTTTTTAACCAGCCACTGTTTAAACATACAATATTTAGAAAACAACCAGATGATTGACAGTGAAGCAAATAAAATGTGGAAATCTCTATCCTTATCAGCTTCTGTGACAGTTTCCGGCAACAGAACGTCTTTAGACATGGCACATCGTCGAGCTCCTTCACCAAACAACATCCTGGGGAGGCAGATCAGAAAGTTCAAGGCTTGCAGAAACCGATTCACAGCTGGGTTGTGATATCAGAACAATCTAGTTGATTCGTAACATTGGAGCTATATGGCCTAGTAGGCTTGAGCCACCCATCTTCTCCTTCACCAATAAAGGAGCAATCTTGATGGCATTTTCTGACACCTTATCTACAGTTTATCGTCTAAAATCTTCAGAAACTCCATAAATACAGTAATTTAACACGCAAGTTACAAAAAGTACCAGGAACTGCTCCAACGCCTCCTAACACTCCTAAAATCGCCATTTATAAGACTAGCATCACATTCCACATGACCATCTTCTGTCAGATTATACCAGCATTTGTGCTCGATTCGTCCTATTTTGTAACAAAACTCACATAGGAATCACTAGAAAAGTTAAGCAGCCATTGCAGACACTAGAGAGTCATTTTTTTTCTTTAACTAATGACAAAGGTCGAACAAGTACCTCGAGGACTTCAATGGCGGCTGAAACACCATCTATGCACAGTTGCACCCTTCAGAACCATAAATTCAACAGATAAAGCAAAGATAAAGGTATGGTCTTCTGTATCATTCGGTCCATCGTACGTGTATGTCATTGATTCGAAAAGAAATTGATCGTGTAAAGACAACCGAAATGGGACCTGGTCAATAATAGTCGAAGCGGCTAGGCAAGAGCGTCTCATGACGGGTCTAAAAGCTTTCCCGTTAGCCGCCGCGTGATATCCGGCACCGACGTGAACCGCCACGAAAAAGCGTCGACTTTTATCTGCTCCTTCGCAAGCCATCGTTCATTATTAAAAACCTCAACAGGTTGAACCGGGACCCAAAGGCACATCCGGTTCGACGTCCGGTCCGGTTTTTAAAATCGGGCTAGGACGTGAAAGAACCTACCCACCGTTCCTGAATCCGAGACGTAAACACCATGCCATTTTTTGGATGCAATTTGCGAAAAATTGTTGGTGAACATAAACATCAGTACTACTCTAACTCTATAAGGCCAAATATAGATCCATTGTTCAAGCTTAGTTCGTTACATTTCAACCTTCTTTCAAGAATCTCATTTTTTTTTTTTTTGACGAAAAAGAGTCTCTCATCATCTTCCTCGTTCATCTTCCTCGTTCATCTTTCTTCGCTCTTTGTTTTTTTTACTAAAAGAGTCTCTTGTCATCTTCCTCGTTCATCTTTCTTCGCCTGATTTCGCTATTCCGAGATATGGATTCGCTTATTTTACAGAGTGAGTTTCATGGCGCTACAGCTGCTTCTGCGAGTTTACCCAAATCGAATGACAAGTTCGAAACTTTGTCCCAAAGGTTTCGTCAGTGTGGATCCGAGGAATGATTCTCAAGTTCGTCTGGCGAGAAGATTGAAATTTACTTTGAATGCTGGGTTCACTGAAAAATTCGACGGTCATCTTCTTCCTAGAAAGCAAAGGGGCTCTAGGTTTTTCTTTCATCGTAATGATTCCTTACGAGATGACCAACACGATGATGATTCATCTAGTTTGGAGGAACTCGGGTATCAACTGGTTAGGGCGAAGAAAGACCTGGAAGATGTTAGGCACAGCAAAGCCATGATCTTGAAATCAGTTCGACCGTCGATAACGCTGGGGGAAGAAGCAGCCAGTGCTAAGAAAGACCTTGAAGAATGCGAAGAAAAGTTAGCAAGCTGCAACAATGAACTCATGCGATTGCAGAAAACTGAAGGACGAGCTGCAGAAGAAGGTAGAGAGCTTGAGAGATGCAGCTGAGACGGCACTGATCCAGGCATCAGAAAAAGCTAACGAAACTATGATATGGGGTGATCAAGGCATTGCTTTGAAGCGTGAGGAGTGTCAAGACGTGATTGATGCCGAGAAAGCATTGCAGCAAAGATCAGAGAGGTATCCTTTTGGTTCGCAAACCCAAGAAACAACCCAAGGCCATTGCTTATTATGTAATCTAACATTTTACTTTGTGCATTTCAGCGATGTATTGGCCAATTTCTCACTCTCCAGTTCAGCAGATACAACTGGGATATTGGGCTCAAGGTTAGCTTCCATCTTTCGCAAGATTCTCTCTACAGGTCATGATATATAGCTCTAAGAGTTTCTATTTTTAGGGAAAATGAGGAGCACAAGGAGAGAATCGTTCAAGCTGGGAGAACCGATGAGGTAACATGTTCTCCTCAGATGCTTTTGTTTATTGATGAAACTGGATGTTTTGCCAATTTCAGTCTCTTTACAGTAGTTCCGTCTGAGATTGTCGTGTTCAAAAAAGTGAAAGTGATTTTAGTGACAGTAGTGTATGGCATTCACATTTTTCTGGTAGCAAACAAAAAAATTCAAGCGTAAGCACTTGCATTTGAGTCTGGCATAAGCACATCTATGATAGACTACAAAGTTGTTTCGGAATAATTCATATTCAACTTTCTTTTAAAAGGTAGAATGATAATTACATTTTGCGGCAGACAAAGTGAATTGATATCTTTTTTTGGCCTCCTTTTTCATTGCTTTCACTAATGAGGATCTGTTTAATTGCTCTTTTCTTTGTGATAGACTCTTCGATGTAAAGTGGATTGCATACCAGCAGACTCGTATGACCAAAACGACAATGATACGTCTGGTGTGGAGGAACTCAGGTATCAACTGGTTAGGGCACAGAACGAGTTGGAAAATGTTAGAGACAGAAATGCCGGGATCTTGAAATTAGTTGAAGTGTCGGTAACGCTGGATGAAGAGGCAGTCCGTGCTAAGAAAGACCTTAAAGACTGTGAAGAAAAATTAGCGAGTTGCAACGATGAACTCACGCGTTTGCAAATACTAAAGGACGAGCTGGAGAAGGAGGTAGAACAATTGAGAGAGGCGGATGAAACGATACAGATCTATGTAGCAGAAGTTGATGATATGGTTGTCTCAACTATGATATGGGGCGAGCAAGGCCCTGCGTTGGAGCGTGAGGCTTGTCAAGACGTGGCTGATGCCGAGAAAGCATTGGAGAGAGCAGAGAGGTATATCTTTTTGGTTCAGAAACAACACAGGGCCACTGCTTTCTCACTATCATAGAATCTAACGTTTTACTTTGTGCTTTTCCAGCGATCTATTGGCCAAATACTCATTCTCCAGTTCAGCATATACCGCTGGGATATTGGGCTCAAGGTTAGCTTACATCTTTCGCAAGATTCTCTCTACAGTTCATGATATATAGTTCTAAGACTTTGTACTTTTAGGGAAACTGAGGAGTTCAAGGAGATAATGTTTAGTTTGGAGGAACTCAGGTGTGACCTAGTTAGGGCACAGAAAGAGTTGCAAAATGTTAGAGAAAGAAATGCCGGTTGCATGAGAGTTGCTGAGCTCTACTCAAAGCTACTGGAAGTAGCAGCCAGTGCTAAGAAAGATGTTACAGAGTGCGAAGAAAAATTGGCAAGCTGCAACGAGGAACTCATGCGTTTTCAAATACTAAAGGGCGAGCTGTTGAAGGAGGTGGAAAGCTTTAGAGAGGGAGCTGAGACGGCACTGATCCAGGCATTGGTAGTTGAGGATATAGTCAACGAAACTATGATATGGGGCGAGCAAGGCAGTGCGTTGGAGCGTGAGGCGTGTCAAGACGTAGTTGATGCCGAGAAAGCATTGAACAGAGCAGAGAGGTATCTTTTTGGTTCTCAAACCCAAGACAAAAACCTATGGACATCTCACTATTGAAGAATCTGATGCTTTACTTTGTGCATGTCCAGCGATGTACTGGCCAATTCATCCTTCTTCATCTCAGCACGCTCAAGGTTAGCTTCCCATCTTTCACAAATCACAAGATTCTCTCTACAGTTCATGATGTATATAGCTCTAAGAGTGTATTTTTTAGGGAAAATGAGGATTACAAGGAGATAACCAGCAGTGGAGCCGACAAACTGAAAGCAGAAGATGAAGGTGTATTGGAGTCATGAGAAAACTCATCAGTTGTTCGTACAAGGAAAAAACTCTGACTTCCTTACAGGAACTTGACTATTTTGTTGGCTTTACCTCGATATCATTGTAGAGAGGAGTTTTTTGGCACAGCGTTGTTTCTCTCTCTTTACGTGTTAATAGAGTTTTAACAGAACAGATCAACTAATTGGTGAATCTCTTGGTTTTATAAATTTTTTTGTACAGATCAACTAAACTTTGATGCTTTCTTTGCTTTAATGACAATAAAGGTTAATAAGCAGAACTTTTCCGACTAAAAACTCTAATTCTCTCTAGATTACAAACAATCTTTCACAGAGCCTCCTCCCTTCACGGTTCAACCAATAAAATCTGGAGAAAGGAAAAAAAAAAGACAACAACACAACATTCCGAAGAGCCCAAAGATCAAATCACGCAAACTAGTGATCCACATACAACTTTTGTATTCGTTTTTTGGATCAAATAACATGAACAGACGAATAAGAAGAACTATATAAATGTTAAAAAACGATTTTATATAAGAAGAAGTATAGAAATCTTAAAACATGAACATTAAGTTTGGTTTCATAGAAGAAGAAAAAAACACTTTGAAAGACCAGAACAAGCAATCTAAGACTGGTTTAATCCAAAAACCAGAGCAATCCTTTTTAAGGTCACTGGAAGTTGTGGATTCTCTTAGCTGATGTCAACGTGTTGGAAAGA